GGTTATCTGCACAGGAGTTGAAATGACTAAATTAATTACTTTAGGAGTTGAACGTTAACCATTGGCATGTGCAGTCACTTGAAAACCAGCTCTCAGGACGTTATCTCCCTTCCAGATTTCTAACAGGGCTTCTTTTTTTTCAGGTTTCCGTTGTGTATTGCGTTTCAGCTGTTGCAAACATGTAAATAGCAGAGGCTCTGTTTGCGTTCTTGATTTTCAGCTGTGGCTGTGCCAGCTGCTGAGGACTGGAAGTGGGGTGGGGGTGATGTCCTGAGAGCTGCCTGGTGATAAGCGGGTTTTACACTTTCGCTGACTGGTGTGGCCAGCAAGCCGTACTCCAGAGGAGGCCTTGATGTCACGTCAGCTCTGTGCTCGCTGCCACAGGGAGAACAATGACCCAGTGTCCTGTGATCAAGCCTTTTGTATAATCTTTATTTAGGACTTTGCTCTTTTCTCAAGTAAATCGTTAGAGGCTGTGCTGCGAGCACGGTGTGCATCAGGAGGGAACCAAGCGGTGTTTGTGAAGAGCTGATGTGCTCTTCATAGTTTGATCTGCAGCGAACCAAAGGAAGGACTAAAGGTTTCCCAACAGTCTTATTTGTCTGAGATTGAGTGTGCAGAGACACAGCAAATATTTGGTCTCTTTTTTCATCTACATCATGTGTGCCTTGGAGCTTGCACATCAAAATTGTTTGTTAGCGTGGTTTTACGAAAAGCTGCTTTCATTGGTAAAAGTGGGATCTCTTGGGTCCTACTCTTGTTTACATTTTTCAAATCTGTTATTCAAGTAAGATGATGGAGTGAGTCTTGAAGAGCAGAGTCTCTTTCCAGGCGTTGGCTGGAGGCTGGAAGCAAAAGGCTCCAATCCCTCCATCCCGTCATAAAATCATAGAATCACAGAATGGTTTGGGTTGGAAGGGACCTCAAAGATCATCCAGTTCCAACCCCCCTGCCATGGGCAGGGACACCCTCCACTACACCAGGTTGCCCAAAGCCTCATCCAACCTGGCCTTGAACACTTCCAGGGATGGGGCATCTACAGCTTCTCTGGGCAACCTGGTCCAGTGCCTCACCACCCTCAGAGGGAAGAATTTCTTCCTTAGATCTCATCTAAATCTCCCCTCTTTCAGTTTAAAGCCATTGCCCCTTGTCCTGTCACTACACACCCTTGTAAAAAGCCCCTCTCCAGCTTTCCTGTAGCCCCTTTAGGTACTGGAAGGCTGCTACAAAGTCACCCTGAAGCCTTCTCTTCTCCAGGCTGAACAGCCCCAACTCTCTCAGCCTGTCTCCAGAGCAGAGGTGCTCCAGCCCTCGGATCATCTTTGTGGCCTCCTCTGGACCCGCTCCAGCAGCTCCGTGTCCTTCTTGTTCTGCTTATCCTTCTTTTTCTGTACAGTCCAACAGAGTAACTGAAGGGGTCATCGCTGGTATGCGCAATCTCTCAAATCTTGGAGTCTTCCAGCAATGTGATCTTATTTTTGTAAGATTGCTGTGCCTCTGGGAGATGGTCTGTGGCTGCTGGTTTCCTTTCATTCCTTTGTTCCTCCAAGGAGCAACACGTTTCAATTGCAACTGTTAGATTCAAGGCTATGGACTTGATATAAGGGGCTCCCATCTTGCGAACGATTTTTGTCTTCCAGTGTTCTGTCAAGATGTGACAGAACAGCTCCATTTTCAGTGAATGAAAGATGTCCTTAACTTTTCTGTTAAACTTGGATGGCAGCTTTTAAAATGTGTGAGTTTTCAAACGATCAGTAGGAGCAGCCATTGAGCAAGGTACCCTTTGCTGGTCGCTCCGAGTGGTTCCGTTAGTAGGGACTGTTCCTATGGCTATGGTAAAGTAAGGAGGGGTTGTGAAAACCCTGCTAGTAGGAAGTGGAAAAATAATTGAGTCATTACAGTGCATCCTTTGTTGCTGACTAGGCCAAAGCTGAGACAATTTGTAATTTTTTATTTATGCTGATGCAGAAATGCATTGGGGCGTGGATTAATGTGGGGGATCGAGACCAGTAACAAAGCAGGGTACAAGTACTGGCTTGTAAGTAGCTGTATAGAGATGCTGCTTGGGCTAGAGAAACCCTGGTAATCTTGTCACATCACTCACCAGTGGCTTATTTTGGCCGTGTTTCTAATGTACAAATATACAAAATATGTTTCCTAACAAAGGAAAATACACCATAAGTAACAGTTGCTGAACATCTTGTTGTGGGTGTCGTTTGCGTGAGGGAACAAGGAGCTGGAGCGGATGCTTTTGCTTTGGTGCTGAGCTGTGGGCTCTCTTTTTGCCTGTTGAATCGGAACTTTTTTTCTTAAAATGGCTGTTATTTCACATCGAAATGTTATTTGTCACAAACTTCTCTGGGAATCCTGTTTGCTCTGTAGACACGTGTTTTTTTTTCTTTTTCAGTGACTCTGAGCAACCCTGTGGAAAAAGGTACGTGCGTTCAGTTTGCTATTTGCCATTCAGTCCTTGTGTAGAAAGATTTGCAAATGTTCCAGTTAATTCTGTTGATTTTTTTACACTTCCATACTCTCCCAGTGCTTCCTTCCTGTCACCACACATTGATGACGTGTACAGCATGCATTGTTAGACGTGCTGTAATGTTGGGATGTGTTGGGAAATGCCACCGTTCGGTTGCAGTATGAGCAGAAGAACGTGAAAAGTTGATCCCTTTTTTCAGAAAAAAAAAAAAGGTGTGTACACCCACACACTTTTTCTCCCTTTGTTTTACGTTTTCAGAGCTGATTTTACAAGCTGAGCAGAAAAGACTAGTTCTGTTCTGTGGCCTGACTGGGTTTTTTTACTGTTTTATTTCATCTTTCAGTGAAAGCTTTTTGAAATGTTTTTTGCAAGGGAGGCTTTCGCAAACGTTTTTTTTGCTTGGTTCTGTTGGCCGCTGACCATATATTGAGCGGTAACACGGTGACTTTCGGTTCCTACCACAGATGGGTTAGAGCAAAGGTTTCTGTCTCGTCACTGTTTGGCTTGAACACTTGGTAGGTCCGTTGGTCGTGCAGGCTGACGGACTGCTCCGTGCTCCCGACGCAGTACTGGGAGGTCGCCGCACGAGTCGGGCAGAGCAACAGGATCACTTCTTGTTGGAGGTCACAGTCGCCTTCTAAGAATAAGGGGATAGTGGCTGTTTCAGTATTCCTCCTCTTCTTTCCTGGAGGTGCTTTGAAGGCATTTGGCTAATTACAGGTGGCCTCTTAGCTTAATAGAATCATAGAATCACAGAATGGTTTGGGTTGGAAGGGACCTCAAAGATCATCCAGTTCCAACCCCCCTGCCATGGGCAGGGACACCCTCCACTACACCAGGTTGCCCAAAGCCTCATCCAACCTGGCCTTCAACACTGCCAGGGATGGGGCAGCCACAACTTCTCTGGGAAACCTGTGCCAGTGCCTCGCCACCCTCAGAGTGAAAAATTTCTTCCTTATATCTAATCTAAATCAAAGCTTCATGTCTTCTTCCAGGGTTATGAAGTCCAGAAGTAGGTGTAGCAGTTTTCAGCTGGCAGATTGTTCCATGAAGAGCGATGCCAGCTGATACTTTAAAGATCCTCCAGGTTGCTGCATCGAGTAAATTCTCTTTCCACTAGAGAGCTGTCCCGATATTTGAAACTTACAGAGAAACCATAGGAGGCATGATGTTAATGATTATGCAGCAGAAGAAAGTTATTAGTTGCCTAATCTATCAGTGCATCTCCAGGTCAGCTTCCTCTAACATGCTGCTGTATTGCTTTATCAACAAAATTGCACCTGTTGCAAGATTTATCTCCTTATATATTGATTTAAAAATGACTTCCACCTGTGTGTAGTGTAAGGATAACATCTCAGACAAACTGAGGAGCATAATAATGAATCATCACTGATTCTCAGATCAGTCACACAACCCGTCGTGTTCTTGTGAGGCGTATCAGTTCATTTGCCATCTCAATAGAAAGTCTCAAAGCTGTGTTTGGCCTTTTTGCTAATTATATTTTCACACAGTCTCACCTGAGAAGTTAGGAATTGTTTGGATTTTAGCCTTCTCTTCCCACTAGTAGTAGTAACTTTAATCTTAGTTTTCTAGAATTTGACGCGTAAATGAAACGGGGGAAATGAGGTTATTATTATGATTAAATGGTATGTTTAAATGAAACTGTCTTGTAACTGTTTGATAATGTCTTAGTGAGTCAAGTATTAAAAGAAAAATCAAATAGTTAGTGTAGCTGAAGGATAGCTGTCCCTTGGCTTCCCGAGCCACAGCATTCCTGTTTGTGCCCGAAGGCAATAAGATTACTCTGATGCATGCTGGATTTCGTGTGATAATGTTTTGTTGAGTGGATTGCAATGCCTTCTCAGTCATCACAAGACCTGCGTTGCTCGATTCGAGGGATGTTTTCCTGATTTGTTGATTGTGTCGACTGTGGCAAATCTAAAAGTGTTTAACAGGAGATTGGCTTTTTTCTGGTGACGTAACGCTGCGCTCGAGCACGTTGTTTCTCTCAGCTCTTGTAAGTGGTGAAGGATGCCTTGCATGGGTACACTGATAATATGGTGCTGTGATTCTGAGTGCACGTAGTAGCAACTGAACCCCAAATTTGGAGATGCTGGAGTATTGCAGTATTAACCTTTGTGGTGCTCAGCACCAGCCAGTTCTGCTTCGCCTGTGCCTCGGTTGTGGGGAAGAGACAGGAGTCCTGTTGTTCCCAGTTGTACAGCGTTGTCATCTGCTCTGTGGGTGAAATCTCTTATGGCTGTGTTCTTCCTCACCCATGGAATCAGATTCAGTGGAGAAGGGGAGGCTTGGGAGGTAGGTAACCTCTGACTGCAGTCACAGATCTCTGAAATTCTAGTGACTAATAATGATTGTTACTGTAAATCTTTCTTTTTTCCTGTAATTTTTTTGTGGTTGTTGTGAAAGATTGGATTTATGCCTTTCATGAATGAAACTTTTGCTTAAGAAATCATTGTTCTGCATTTGTTCTTTTGTTCTGTTTTTTTTTTCTTTTCAGTGGCCTATCTTATAATATTCCATATTCTCTTTGTGCTCTTTGTGTGGACATATTGGAAGTCTATTTTTACTCTCCCAGTGCAGCCAGGCAAAAAGGTAAGAGTCCAAGCACTTTTCGTTCATTGCAGAACAAAAGCAGTTTTTTGCCAAAGAGAACTCACAAATACTTCAGTCTAGTTGATCTGGACAACTGGTCAGATTTCCGAAAGAGGTGGGAAGTGACCTAGAGTTGACCATAAAAACTGAGTAATTTACCATTCTGAGAGTCCTTTGACTCTGCAAAGAGCATGATCTAAATCATAGACTCATAGAATGGTTTGGGTTGGAAGGGACTTCAAAGACCATCCAGTTCCAACCCCCCTGCCATGGACAGGGACACCCTCCACTACACCAGGTTGCCCAAAGCCTCATCCAACCTGGCCTTGAACACCTCCAGGGAGGTGACAAATCAGAGATGGTGTTCACTTTTAGAGCTGCCTTTTCAAACGTTCCAGGAGCCGATGGGATTTTTCAGGTTGAGGATAATAGGATCGTAAGGCCCTTCAGTTTTGGTTTTCACTCTTTGTGGGAGATGCCCCAGTGCAGGTGGAAATGGGGGGATCAAAGCCTATTAGCAGCACAGTTTTAGTGCCACAGGAGGCTAAGATCCTACTGAAACTTGCAGTAGTAGCAGTTCTAGTATGTTGTTTTGTGATCTTAATTTCACTTCTGTGTTTCTTACTGATGCATCGCATGGTATTCTGGCTGTCCAGCCCTTACTATTTCTCTTTGTCGTCTTAACGATTTTTTTTTAAATGTAGGTGGCTTATTTTAGGACAAGAGTATAATTTAGTGGTTTAAGTGTTTGTGAAAACACATTTTCACATCAGATTAAGCTCCTTAGAAGGAGTGGGAGATAAAACGCTCCCAAACTTGCCTGTATTTGAAATACCCTCCCTGCTGCCCACGGCTAACTGCTCCTCTCACGACTCCTGCGCCTAGTACCACATGTCCTGTGCTGACAAAGAGCGCTACGAGAACGAGGAGAGGCCGGAGGTGCAGCGGCAAATCCTCGCCGAGATCGCACGGAAGCTGCCGGTGTACACGAGAACGGGGAGCGGAGGTCAGTGACGCCGAGCGCTGTTTCTCTCGCTCCAGCCCAGCTCGCCGAAGCAGCGCACGCTGGCAACCCAGACGATGCTGCCGACCAGCAGAGCATTCCTGATGCCACTGCGTGTGCTGAGTAACTCTTGTGCAGACATCCGAATGCCTTCTCTCTCGGGTTTTGTGCCTGGGAAAACAAAACAGCCTTGGACACTTGGTTCATCTTCAGCGCAGCACCAGGCGCTGCCTTTGCGGAGCAAGACGTTACCTCTCTGTATTTTCAGTTCAAAAGCCTACGTGGGTTGTCTGCGTTTAGTAATAGAATGACAGAATCTGTAGTCGTTTTTACTTAAAATGGAGTTTAGCTCAGAGATGCTGGATGTAATTCCAGGAAGAGATTTCTGGACCTTGTTCTGTGATGAAACGCGCAGCGCACTCCGTTCAGAGCTTAAAAGAAATCCCTGTTGATATCGGAGGCGCTGACCTGTTCCTTTCTGTCAGACAAGCCAAAGAATTGTGCAGTGCAGAAGTGCTCCGTAGGCAATTATCCAAGTGGAACGTGTGTGAAGTCTGAGTAATGCGGAAGCCAGAGGGAAGTGCACGACTTTGGTGTGTCGCTTCCAAGCTGGCTGTACGCCTTGCAGGGAGGATCGCTCCGCACGTCCGCAAGTCCCCAGAAGAACGATGAGCATCGCTCATCTGGGTATGACCTGGCAGCAGCACCCAGCTGCAGGGACACTCGTCTTCTGAGCTGATAAAGAATAGGAGTAGTTGGGAAACGAGGGAATACCAACTAAGGTGTGAAAAAGCACGCAGGCTTTTCTGTTACTTGGTGTTAATGTGTCTTTAATTCCAGGGGTGCGATTCTGCGATAGATGCCAGCTCATAAAACCTGATCGTTGCCACCACTGCTCCGTTTGTGCTGTGTAAGTTCCCAGCTTGTTTTTCACTGAGTTTCACGAATGGGCTGGTCCTTCCCACGGCTCTGTACGCAGAAAGGTACCCGAGTACCTCTGTTCCGCTGCAGTAACAGCGTGTGTTCCCGTGTGACAGCACCAGCATTGGCATTTCTGCTCTGTGTGGCCCTGAAGTGTTTGCAGTTCCCAGCCCTGCAACGTCCCAGCGTTCAGTCGCTGGAAAGCTGCTGTCTAGTGGAAATTCCCTGATTAACCGTGACCTGGCCTGCCATTTTCCTTTTTTGTCCTTTTGCAGATGCGTGCTAAAAATGGATCACCACTGCCCATGGTACGTCCCAGATACTGGTTGGTAGTTTTCTGAAAAGAGAGGCTGTTGGCACACATTTCTGCCACAGAGCAGTGTCTGTGCGACGCCTTCATTTCAGACCGTGCATCTCGTTATGTTGGGAAATTTATAAAGCAATTACACTTTGAAATGGCCTGAGAGGTGTTGCTGTTTTAAAAGACAGATCATTCGTGTTTGTTCCATAAACTACGTGTGAAAAAGTTGTTCTATCAATATAATTTAAAACTCAACTGCTACTTCACTCTCTGACTATTATTCAAATTTTAAAGGGACTCCAACTTGGCCTCTAATTTTGGGTGTGTGATTGTTTCAGCGTGCAGCTGGTGGCTTTCAACAATAATACTGGCACGCAGGTTGTTTCTGAACTGAAGCCTGCCAGCTGTGCGTGGTCAGAGGCAGTTCGTGTAGAATGGTCCAGGGACGAACTGAGCTTTATACTTTTTGAGAATTGCTGCCACTAAATTTCTCCAACTCCTCCTTTTCTCAAGAAGGAAGATCTCAGAAATCAGAAGCAACACAAACATTTCCCCACCTGAACCGCCCCGGTAAAATCCTAAACTGTAGAGGATTTTTCAAACCCGAGTTTTGAGACAAACACCTCTCATTTTTTTCTGCATTCCCTTGTTCGTTTTTAAGTTGTCCTGTGCATGGAGAATTACATGAACTCGGTTTTATTTGTGTTGTATGTAAACAAACAAGCAGTGGCGAATCTGGCTCCTGAGTTTTGCAAATGAGTGAAGTAACACAGAAATCCCAGCTCTGATCACCTTTGCAGACAAGAAACAGCCGTGAGTAATTAGAGCCTGCCCCCGCGACAGATTTACCATGGTACCAACCTTGCAGCAGATTCCAAAAATACCAGCTGTCCTTTTGCTTAGCACAGCAAGAAGCCTTCAGGTGAGAAGCAAAAGGACTTTGGTTAAATTTCATCTTGACCACTAAGGGGAGCTCCTTTATAGACGGTTGTGTTCTGAAATCAAGATGCTTAATAAAACCAAAACAATTTGCAGTATTTTCATTGTGTTCCAACCGTGTGCTGTACACTGACTTCAACTTTGCTTTTGTTCTCTAGGGTGAATAACTGCATTGGATTTTCTAACTACAAATTCTTTCTACTGTTCTTAGCCTATTCTTTGCTGTATTGCTTGTATATTGCTGCGACAGTCTTCAAGTATTTCATTAAATATTGGACAGTAAGTTGTGAAATCTGGTTACTTTTTCATATCCTGTGAGCCTGGTGGGGTTTAGTCAGGGTTGTTTCTTTTTTGCCTGCAGTCAATGGAGGGTCTGCATTTCTTCTGTAAGGTGTTTTCCTGTGCCCTTTTTTGAGTATAATTCCCGGAACTCTCCTGCTTGCGAGATCCAGCTCGGCTTTTAGGCTTTCCCAAACCATCTGTGCCCAGTTGTAACTCCACCTGGTTGTTACAGCTCCGGTGGCCGGGTGTTCTGATATTGCAAGAGGTGCCGAATTTAAACAGGTGCACAGGAAACTCAGCAGAACCTAAACAAGACCTGAAGAGCTTGTGCCTGCTCATTTCCCTGTGGGCACGGGGCATGTTTCTTGTGCCAGGTGGGAAGCTCTCTTACATACAAAAACTTTGTAGCAAACCCTGGGGGAGGGGGAGTGACCGGCTGTGTGTGGGGCGGTTCAACATAACCCACGACAATTGTGTTACAATCGTGCACTGTACATGTCCTGATTTCAACAGCATTGGATTCTCTAACTACAAATTCTTTCTACTGTTCTTACCCTGTTCTTTGTCATATTGCTTGGATATTGCTGCGACAGTCAAGTATTCTATTAAGTCTCGGATGAAATCTGGCTACTGTTTCATATCCTGTGAGTCTGGTGGGGTTTAGTCAGGGTTGTTTCTTTT